GATCGTTATCAACACATTTACGAGAGTTTAAAGATATAAAACCTGTAAAAAATATGAAGAACACAAAAGTGACAATCTACCGAATATAATTTCGTTGGAAATGTATTACAAATATATTCAGACAAATCGAAGAGGGACCATCAACAACACCTCGCACAATTCATGTTTTCTACGAGGACATGCTGGCTGAGGTATGTGAATTGTAGACCTCGGCTGATTTAAACGGGGTTTGATACCGTTAGCTTGTAGCTTTCCGCCCACGGGATATCTAGCATATTCAAACAAACTCTAAAATTACAGTACGCAATCTAATTTAGTTACCCGTGTAAATCTTCACCATCCATTAAGGAATTTCATTCATCTCATGGATTCCCGAAAGTAAAATTAAGAAACGCATCAGTTTAACCTTTTCCCACTTTCTTCACTTGAACTCCAAAGCATGAATGAATAGCGCCGGTTTTCGCGTGTGACACGGCACGGCGCCCTCCAGCGAGCATTTTCCCTCGCAGATCGGCCTGGACGCCTTCGGGGAGCACGTCAATGCCTTTTAACACTTGGCGACCACCGCAAGAATGACTGATGTGCGGTAATTTTAACTGGGTATGCGTGTGTCTGCTTACACGCACATGAACAGGATCATATATGCATTCTGTATGTATACGCGCGTGTGCAAGTATATGTATGTACCAATATATATGCTAATATAATACATGCAAACCTAAACTTCGTTAAAAGTACAGCTAATGGAACACATTCTTTAAATACACGGTGAGTTTCTCTTGCACGGTAAGTAAGTGAAAATATCAATATCAGCGGTATGATCCGGTTTACAACTGTTTCTCTGCATTAAATCAAGGTTTGTAGTCATCGCAGTAATGGCTGAAACCTCGAGCCAAAGGTTAGGAAAATAACCCTTCCAGGCATTTACCCGCAGGTCACTGACTTCAAGGTGAACCGCGTGAATAGGGTATACAACTCCATCTCTTCCCTCATTAACATTTTATCTCACACGCAGCACCGGAAATCCCCTTCAAGACCTCAATATAATCCCGCCTTTATCTAAGTAATTATCGGAACAGCGACTCCGTAAATGCTAGACTTAATAACTGTTGCAGGAGGAGGAGGAAGGGGTTAATGTTGGCAGGCCTGGTCCCTATTTTTTTTCGCTCTCCTACCGCGGCCGGCGGTGCTGACCCCGACGGCCGGGCTGCATTTCCTTAGCTTTCCTCCCGCTCAGATTTCCTCCCCCTAGAATCACTGATATCTAATACTTAAAACAGAAAAATGGGAGAAATCTATAAATAATTAAAAGGGAAAATATACATGGGAAACGGAAAAAATAAAATACAATGCTCATCTCTGCCGCTGTCGCCTGCAAAGACAGGATCGGGTTTTAGCTGCTGTCTGTGTTGAAAGATCATCATGTTACAACAAACGTTACACAAGTCCCACGCACAGAGCAAACAGTGACAAAAACGCTAAAATAAATAAAACACATCGAGGTCAAGGGAAATTGCTGTCGACGGTGATATTTCCATTTCAAATATTACAGTTGGTTGTGAAACTAATCAAAACTGAACGAAGCTAGAGTGAGCGCATTTAAACAGTCACTATCAGGCGGAGAATAAATGTATCTGTAGGGAGATGAACAAAATACATTCTCTCTCTCTCTCTCTCTCTCTCTCTCTCTCTCTCTCTCTCTGTGTGTGTGTGTGTGTGTGTGTGTGTGTGTGTGTGTGTGTGTGTGTGTGTGTGTGTGTGTGTGTGTGTGTGTGTGTGTGTGTGTGTGTGTGTGTGTGTGTGTATGTGTGTGTGCGCGCGAGCGCATAGCGTACACAACTCTCCGCTGCCAGCACTTGTTTATTACATATCATATAAATAATGGAAATTCGTTCCTGATTACAGCCCAGTCAAAAATCGCAACAAAAACATGTCTAAAACAACAAGCCGCGTAGCAGGTAAATCTCGACCACAGAGCACAGTGTTTGCGCTGCGCTACAGGTGTTGGGTAACTGTTAAGGTAGTTTGTTGCAGCCATTGCATGCGCTCCACTGCAACTGTTTGATCAGCAGCGAGGCTGACTCGGGGAATCTTGGCGACATGATTTCACAGGAGTTCCCGTCCCGCACTTTCGGGGTTTGCACACGGTGGGAATGCCGACGGAACTGCAATTGCAGGCAAGTGCGAAAAACGAGAGAGAAAAACAACGGTAACCCCGTGGAAACACACACACACACACACACACACACACACACACACACACACACACACACACACACACAGAGAAAGAGCTGAGAAAGAAGAGATAAGGAGAGAGGTACAGATTGATAGATAGAAAGAAATATATGAAACAGAAGTGAAAATGCATATCAATGCAGGATGACATACATATTTGTTAATTACATATTATATATATAAAAAAAATTGCTAACAAAACCACTGACTGAAATAACTACAAATACTGAGGCAGATAAACAGATTAAGTAGCCTACAAAGAGTCCAGGTATGAGAAATAGTGCGCAAGAAAGTTATTACACAATCACAGAGTTGGTGCTCTATAATGCCCAATTATGAGCCTGGTTTGTGCATACGCCATCGATTCCCCTCCCCCACCCCCACCCCACCCCGACGGCGCCTAATG